TGGGACAAAACCTGATGAGGAAAAAGAGTACAGCGCATACTACTCCCATGGTGGTCGGCTAGTTCTCAGTACCCGGAATGGGTTGATGGAATGAGTGGAGAGTGGGATCTGGACCGAGTTCGGATGTGGAGATGGTGTAACCGGCTCGGTTCTGGCTGAGTGGTCGGAATTGGATTGGACCGGCTGATTCTTGAACCTCTGTTGGGCCGGTCCGGTCTTGGATCTTCAATTGTACCATGTCTTCAATCAGCAGTTGCATCTGGCCGGTTTGCTCGTCTTGATCAAGGATTTGCTGGACTGCTTTGGAGAAACCCTCTCGTAGTGCCCTGGTTCCACTCCTGGTCGTTGGGCCTCGCCTGATCACGGGAACCTCTACTTGGATGGCCTCATCACAGTTTCTCTAAAATCTTGTTTATTTCTTGTGTCATTTTCTTGTTTAGGTTATAGATTCTTTCATTATATTTTTATACTCTGTAATTACATTTTTCCTAGTTTCGTTGGATATTTTGTAATTATTTTTTTCATTTTCTCTAAGTAAGTTTATTTTTCCGAAAATCTTATTATCATTTATTTACTTTGTACTATTCTTGGTAGATTTAAAACCAAAGAGATGATGCAAGACTGATAAAACTTGTGAGAAATCACATTATTCATTGGAAGATCATATCATCAATGAGTAGAATACTAAACTCTTGGTTATCGTGTTTTCATTCACTGTTGCTGATGTTGTATACATTAATTTTTTCTATTATATATCTTTTGTGTTTGTTTTAACATTCAAAAAATCATATGTTTTGTTCATTTAGGCTTTTCCTTCTGAAAATTCAGACACAAAAGATCAAAACCTATGCTCAACAACCACAGAAATATGGAATTTCGTGTTCAACTTGTTTATAATTCATTTTTAAACTTTAAACTTATTTTTGTTTTGATAATATATTTTTCAAAATTCCAGATTGGAGAAATGGGAGAATGTTTATTTTCCTTTACAGAAGTGGAGAAAGTTATCTAAAGAGGAACGAGCTCTAAACCAATAACAAAGATTATAGTTTTGTTCGTACTTCAGTATATTATATGTACTTATTTCTTTCATTATTTTTATCTCTTTTTCTTATTTGTAATTTTCAAGGTCTTTTTATAGAAATTAGGTAATTTTCAAGTTATTATCAACTCTTCTCATAAATGGAAGAGACTCTCGGTTCAGTTTGATATTCAGGCATTAGTTAAGTAACTCTTTAGGCTTCAGCTTGATTCAAAATTTATAAACAAAGTCTGAGCGGTTCATGTCCGTATTTGAAGCTCATGCCTTCAGATCTCTTGTCATTCAACTGTGATAAGAGATGCCTGTTTGCAAACTTTCTAGCCTGGGATAATGTGATAAGAGAAGACCGTTTTCAATAGTACTTTTCCTTAAAAGGTCCATCATGGTTCCATGATCAGATGGGCTACACAATAATATATATGCTTCTTTACTGAGAAATTGATAATATTTATTATTATGCTGCTTTCGAAAATGCATCTCTCTGTTTTGGAGAACTATGTTTTTATTCTCTTTCTTTTGGGCAAGCTTTCTCGTATAAGTTTTGTTTTAAACAAATTTGAAACATTTGGGTTAACCTAAACAATTGGGCATGGGCTGTTTGCTGTACCTTTTATCTTCGGCACACTTTTTAATTAACAAACCAAAAAATAAATCGTAAGATCATTATAAAGTCTGTATTTTTATTCTCATAGAGCCTATTTGTGTGTGTTTGTATGTAATATTCATAAAATTCTCACTCAAATTCGGATCGGGTATAAGAAAATTACAACTGGTTGTGATATGTTAGAAGTGTATGTACTTGGATTTTAGATTTTAGATTTTGGGTTTTGGTTTTAGATTCTGGTGTCTTGATGAATTTATAGTTTTTGTTTTTATTCTGTTGGTTTTTTATCTTTCGAAAATTTGGTAGATCATTTATTTATTTTGTAATAATTTTAACTTTGCATATAATTTAGTTTTATTAAAATACACTTTAAATTACAAAATAATAGATTAGTTTCATATAATTAATATCAATAGGTTATCAATAAAATATGGACATTTTGAAAAGAAAAAAAATAATTAAGTGAATTTTTTTTATCAGTTGAAGAACGAGGTTCACAGTAAAATATGTTCATAATTTAGTGTTACAAATATATGTATACACACACACACATATATATATATATATATATATATATATATATATTCATTATTGTAACATTTAGATACAACCAGAATATTATTATTAATCTTAATAGTTTAGAGTGGCTATATTAATTTATAACTAAATAAAATATGATAAAATAATAACTACTCATAACTATTAAGGTTAATAAAACTATCCTGGTTGTATCTAAACTTTTAAGATTATGAATATATATGTATACATATATTTTGAAATAATCAACATTAATATATGTAATGGTTGGTAAATAAAACAGATTTTAGAAAGAAATCCAAAAACTACTTTAAAAACCATAAAAAATCAACAACGTAATGTTGACTGGAAATAAGATATAAGCTACCTTTTCACACACACATTTCAAATATAAGATAGTCTGCTAAAACAATAAATTTGCATTATTAGCATCGTAAAATAAACAATACATTTATACATAATACCTAATATGGTCCAATAATAATTTACAACTGTGGTGGGTTAGATACTATCACATAATATATAAACACATATATTTAGTTCACTATAGAACTACAATATTTAAAATGTAAAACATATAATTTTAATAGTGACTGTAAATTAGCTAAGATAGAAGCCACCTTTCACACACAAATATCAGATAGAAATAAAATAATTCTATTACAATCATAATTTTGTATCTTATAGAAACTATACTAATACTTGATATGATCCATTAATAATATATATCCTTATTATAAGAGAGACATTATTTAAACAGTATGATCCAATAATAGCAATATATCACTATTATTTTATGTAAAATAGTTTTCATCAATGTTCGAGCAGCAACTATAACGTCTCATTGTTCCTCTAGAATGGAATGCAATTACTCTCTGATTACCAGACATAAAAAAAAAAAAACAAGCGTTACAGAAGTTCACTCTAATCCCATTGGCAAATAGTGCTGAGCTTCAAAAGGAAAAAAAAAATAATCCCCACTAAACTTACAAGAAATCGATATCAAATTTTACAGGTCCCGAAACGAGCTTCTCTCTGTGCCATCTCAACGGCAAACGCAGTTATGAAGATATAGATGGTTTCACTAATGCGACACATCCAAGTATCAGAAGATGCCAACTCTGTGAAATTATATTACTAGTTCAAAATTAATTTTTTTGTTAAGCCAGTTGTTAGGTTTTCTGGTTTTGCAAAACTAAGTTTTCTTGAATGTTATAAATGTTGTCATTATATTAACATTGTATAACAAAGACAAAGTAATACATTAATCTTCACACATCTAACATATTTATAAACGTATATATGATAGTGTGTATGAATGTAAATATATACATATATACTGTATATCAAATTATTAACATTTTTTAGATAAGGAAAAAAAAGTTAGTACAACAAAACCTAATCAGTTAAATGAAGAGAAAACGAGGGTTTTGTCTTAAAGCCCATCAGAAAGATACGAATGAGAAAAATGTGGTACCCACATCACACCCCGCATGTGGACACATTTCACCGTTTTGACAGCGACACCCAAACCGTAACCATCCTTCATCTAAATTGTAAAAATAAAACTTAAAGTTTGTTTCATTTCAATAAATTATGACAGAGATGGACCTTACCTACATATACTTTTCAAGATCATATATGCCATATTAAAAAAAATTGAAGAAGAAGAACAAAAAACAGGAGAGAGAGAGGGCTTTGAGGTTTGTCTTTGTATTATATAATACACACATACATATATAGTGGACTAGTGTCTTCTTCTTCATCATCTTCTTTATTATCATCATCATCATACTTATATCATCTTCTTCTTGGTTCTTACTTAACCTCCGATTTATAGCTTTTTGACTTTTTTTTTTCCTTCTTCTTGGTTGCTTTCTCTTGATCTATCAGGTACCAAAAGAAAACAACTAAGAAATCTTCTTCTTAATTATTTCAAAAGCTTACAACCAAAAAAAATAAAAATAAGGCCTTATAATTTGTTTGTATTGTTCCCTTCATGTATTTTAGTGAATTGTTTTTATAAAAAAATTCTCCATGTCGTCAATCTCAATGGATTCTTGCTGTTCTTCATTCTTCTCTTCGTTTTCTTCTGCAACGATAATTTAATTTTTGTTTTCGCTACCTTTTTAACATTTTTAATGAATGGATTATTCTCTTACAGGTTATACTCGTACAAAGGCAAAGAAAAAGATCTAAGATGGCGTCATCATCATATAACGCAAGCGTTGTTCCTTCTTCATCATCCTCTGCTCAGCCGTTCTTCCTCACTGGCTCCGGCGTCGGAGAGAACGACTTTGACCAGAAAGATACTTTTATGTCAATGATTCAACAACCTAACTCCTCAGCTCCACCACCCAAGAAACGAAGAAACCAACCCGGAAACCCAAGCAAGTATCTCTTACATATATATATATATATATTATAAATAATTTATTTTATTAAAATGACTATCTTTGAGAAAAATAAAGATAACCCTTATAGGAGAAATCTAAATAAAGAAGAACCCTAATTAATCTTCTTACTTTTTTTGGTCCACTTGTATTTTAATTATTATCGACCGGTCATTATTACAAATATGTGGGAATTGATTTTCTTTCTATATAATGTTGGTGTCCTTTTCTTGATTTAGTCCTCATAGATTAATATTGCAAGATCCGAATGGTGACTAAATTTAATTGATCAAACAGATCCTGATGCGGAAGTAGTAGCGTTATCTCCAAAGACAATAATGGCTACAAACAGGTTCATATGCGATGTATGCAAGAAAGGGTTTCAAAGAGAACAAAACCTACAGCTTCACCGAAGAGGACACAATCTCCCATGGAAGCTCAAACAGAAGTCAACCAAAGAAGTGAAGAGGAAAGTTTATCTTTGTCCGGAGCCCACGTGTGTCCACCATGACCCCTCACGTGCTCTCGGAGACCTCACCGGAATCAAGAAACATTATTACCGTAAACATGGAGAAAAGAAGTGGAAATGCGAGAAATGTTCTAAGCGTTACGCTGTTCAATCGGATTGGAAAGCTCACTCTAAGACTTGTGGTACCAAAGAGTATCGATGTGACTGTGGTACCATCTTCTCTAGGTAACTAATCTCTGTCCATTTCATTTAAATAATTTGTTTGTATTTGGGCTAAAGCGTTATGAAACGTATATAATATATATGTTTAGTATCTAGATATACTCTCTTATCTAGGTAAAGTATGAGACCATGGACCATCGTTGCTTTTGTATTGTATTGAAAATCTATTCTAAGTAAAAAGCTGCATTCAACACTGCATGTAAAACATAGCTTATTTACTAATATTACACGGAAAATATCAAATATATAATATGGTCTGTAACTGAAATAGTATATATTTGGCCATGGAATTTGAAACCTCGAGTACACCGCCCATATATAGTGACGATGTACATAGGATCTATCACTGTATTTGTTTGGTTGTTGATGACTAGTGAATAGAGAAAGACAGTGAAGAGAAAGTGTGAAAATTTAAAAGATGCTAAATTTGGTCACATGTATGAGTTGGATCTGTTTTTCCATTTTCCACTTTTGTATTCTTCTTCTTCACTTTGCAGGTTCCCCTTTTTATGAAACTCCTCTTCTTTTGTGGACCATGTCTTATCTCTTTCTCTCTCTAGACATATACATACATAGATACATATATATTTGGCTAAAGTGCGTTACTTATTTCAGTAAAGTGTTCTGGTGAACACTTAATGCTGTTCTAGGGTTTCTTTCTTTATTTTCATGGTTTGAGTTAGATACGTTGTTGTAGAATGTGACTGACTTATATTAACATTCATGGGCTTTGCATTAAATGAAGAAGGTCTTTCATTAAAGTAGCAATTGATTCAACCTTTATATTCTTCTATAATTCTCTCCTAAAAATGGTAGCCATAATAACTATAGCATTCATTAATGATGATTCACGTCAATATATGCAACATATATTTTTTTTTAAAAAAATTGAAATATATATGCAAATAATCCAATAATTTTATTACCCACCCTAATTACTAATTTTGGAATTTTCTTTATGTAGACGTGATAGTTACATTACACACAGGGCTTTCTGTGATGCACTGATACAAGAGACTGCTAGAAACCCTACCGTGAGCTTCACGTCTATGGCAGCTGCTAGCAGCGGCCCTCTCTCCGGTGGATTTTACGGGAGATTCGACGGTGGCAGCGCTCTCTCCCACCACCATTTGAGTGACCATCCAAACTCCGGATTTTCGCCTCACATGGGTGGTTACAATCTAAACATTGCATCTTCTCAAAACATCAGACACTTTGTTCCGCAAACGTCAAACCCTAACTTCTTAATCCAATCGAGCCAAGGAATGCTGACTGCACCGACCAACAACAACATCGACCAGAGTTTCATTAACCAACATGGTCTAAACCACTTTGATCCAGTCAACAACATAAACTCCAAGAGTAGCCCCAACAACAGCTTCTTCAACCTCGGATTCTTTCAAGAAAACACCAAGAACTCAGAGACGAGTCTCCCTTCTCTATATAGCACCGAAGTTCACCGTGAAGAAAGCTTGAACGCGGGCTCTAACGTGTCAGCCACGGCACTGCTTCAGAAAGCTACTCAAATGGGTTCCATCACAAGCAACGATCCTTCTGCTTTGTTCAGAGACTTGGCTTCTTCGTCAAGTGTGGTTGTTAATGACTTTGGAGAAGGGCAGATTATGGGGAACCATCATAACGGTAATCTTCAAGGTCTAATGAACTCATTAGCGGCAGTAAATGGCGGTGGTGCAGGCGGATCCGGTGGCAATATATTCGATGTTCATTTTGGAAACGATGGAAACATGAGTGGCTCGGACAAGTTAACGTTGGATTTTCTTGGAGTTGGAGGAATGGTGAGAAATGTAAATCGTGGCCGTGGTCGTGGAGACGTTTCTTTGGATGGTGAACTCAAGTTTCCGGAGCAAAACCATCCATATGGAAGATCTTGATATATAATATCTTATTATTGTAGACCTATATATTCACCCTATTATGACTAGTTAGGTGATATTTTGCTATCTTTGTTTGTTGTTTCATAATCTACATACAATAGATCTTTACTGAACTCTTTAAGTTTGGTTCTGATTAGAATTTGTCTTTGTTAAGTTGTTATATAAATAGTTTGCTACTGTGTTGTCTATAACCGAATACAAAAACTACTATGGTTCGAGGGAGGTGAATTAAACGGAGTGGAATGCGGTTATATGGTAAAATGTGGGTTCAAAATTCAACGAAATTTTTGAATAAGTTAGACTGTAAGAACATGTCATTTTGGCCAGAAATTTTCATATCATTCTTATGTAGATATTTAAATTAACGTTCTTGTGAATTGCTTTTATAGATTCTGAACGTGATAAACACTGCTGTTAGAATCCACCAACAAATCTCAACACGGATCTTCACACCTCTTACATGTGGCTTTTTCAAAACGTATCACAATATAGTATATTGTGCAGTGTTTTCAAAAATATGGTAAAATATTTCTTAAAGTTTTGATAGTTATACTCTATAAGAAAAAAACGATTTTCTTGAAATAAATTTGTAGTATACATGAATGATGCAATTTATGTATTTCTACACTTATATTTAAATCATCCTAGCATTTTTTTTTTTACAACGATCATCCTAGCATTTAAATATTCCATTCGTTTCATTTTAATTGTCATTCTAGGTTTTTAGACACAGATTAAAGAAACATTTAATTTTAGATATTTTCAAGATAAAAACACAATTACCTATAGACCTAACCATTTTTCAACCAAAATAGAATATCATATAAAACTAATAAATTTTGCCCGAAACTCCAAAACGACACTTATTTTGAAACCAAATTTTCTCTCTGGAATGACAATTAATTAGAAACATAAGGAGTATATGTTTATATATTAAGATTTTATATCATGTACAAATAAATGATCTTACAAATAAATTCTACTACATACAAAATACCCTAATATCTATTATTAACAAATACTAAATTAAGAAACTATATATTAAAATCATCTAGACCAAACATAAAAATGTCAAAATATTTCAAACTTTTACATCTATAATTTTTTTCCAAAAAATCAAAAATAATTACAAATTACCACCATCATTAAAACGGATTAGAGATATTAGATACATTAAAACTTTTATAAATTAATAAAGTTGGGACTTTAAAATTTTATTAATTTATAGAGATATTAGTTTACACAAAAATTCTTATTTAGATTTCTTATTTTAATATATATATATATATATATATTTATTCTAAGATAAGAAAAAAAATAGTGCATAAACATTAAATATTATTTTTAGAATTTAACATTTGTATTGATTTTATTATATTATTTAGTGTGTATAATATAGGTTGCATAGATTATAAATGTGGTTTTAGATATCATTTACTAAATTCTCATCAAAAATATATAAGTGTTAAGAAAATGTAGAGATAATTATATTGTGAATATAAGACAAACATTATAATGATAGGTTCTTACATATGTAAAATATATATACATATAAATTATTAATTTATACTTTTAATGAGATCATATATTTGCATATAGTTTTCTAAAAAAATAGTATTTTATTATTTTATCGCTTTGTGTCAAATTTTAAATTGACCCAATTTGGGACCAAAGAAATTTATTAATTTATAGAAATTATTAATTTATTAAGTATTAATTTATAGTGGTTCTACTATATATATATATATATATATATATATATATATATATATATATATATATCTACAATGCCTCGTAAAAAAAATAAGAAAACATACATCTAATGGCTGGGTATAGTGTATAAATGCATACGTACGTACGATGTATAGATACTAGCTTTGATTCATATATTAGATTACACATCCCACGTTGCACATGGAAATATATATGAGCTTATTCGAAGATAATAATAATACGCCAATCATATCAGATATATTCCAATATAAAGCATAGTCCAAACAGAAACATCCAATATCTCCGTATTATTCATAATCACGTAGTAACTGGAGTATTCCTACTATATAATAAGTTAATAAATAATAACTAATGAATTCTATATATGTATAAACTAAATCTAAACTTTTGAATTATTGTACGTTTTGGTTGGTTGGCTATCACAAACCCCCTAAGTTTACTGAAATAAGTGTAGCGAATTTCAAAATATACTCATATTGTGTCATATATATCAAGGGAATTTCTTTTGCCTTGCTGATGCTGTACATTTGTAGATTAGACATTCATGTTACACAAGAAATTATAATCTCCCGAATCATGTGACCTGATTCAAAATTAGTTTTAATCTGCTTCCAAAATTTTTGATATTTATGATTTATCAGTCTATGTTGGAAAAGGATTGTGATTTTCTTATTTTTCAAATTGAATTTGCGTCTGAATTTGAATGTGAAATCTCATATTCATCTAATTAAAACCAGAACCGATACTATAGCTTAAACTAATATAATACTATATGTATTATGTATTTGATACAATTTAATGACTAATTTTTAATTAGTTTAATACTTATATATTGATTTTAATTAAGTTTGATGTAATAATAGAGTTTAAAAAAATACCTGTCAAAACTTTACAAAATACTTGACAGCCATCAGTTAATTTATAGTATTAAAAATCGTATTAAAATATTTAAATCAGTGAAAGTTAATAGACTTTATATAATATTTTGTTTGGCAAGTGTAGTTTTGTATATATGATATGTAGACATTTAACTAGTAGTAATTTCAATGATATAATGTAATGTGATATATAACAAAATACAAATTACTTGCAATGTCTATATATGTGAAGTCTATCGAATATACAAATTATTTGCAATGTCTGTATATCTGTTGTCTATCGAGAATCGAAGAGATGGCGCTACATTATAATGTGCTGTCCAATTTAATTAAGTGTATGTTTAAACATATTCGGTGTTAAAAAAGTAGAATGACATCCGATGAAATGTGTGTGCATGTGTAAGCACATATACATAACTGCTAGTAAAAAATATTTCGAAAATCATATACTAGAATACGATTAAAAGAAGTCGGCCACCTACTTCGAGTCTTCAACATATGGCGCGAAAATATAAAACTAAATAAAAGTATCTAATCATTTTCTAAACTAACTCAAAATTATTAATTTATTTGCATGCTATTCTTATTAAAGACCTGTGTTGACATTCTTACGACATAACTCAACTCATTTCTTTTCGTCTTCATTGTTACTTTCCAAACGTTGACAATGGCACTTCGATTTAGGGTTATTGTAATTTAGTGTGGGATCAATGAGTTTTAGACACAATCCTAAAATATCTCTGGTAACTAGAAATCTTCAGTGAAATTCAGCTTGTATTATTATATATTTCAACCAAATAAAACTTCGTATTAGAAAACAAAAACGATGTCACTTTTTACCCCAAAAAAACGATGTCACTAAATTTGACACAATTTGGTGAATAATAGTCTTTTCCAAACGGAGGAAGGTCCAATCGATATGATAATGATGTTGAAATAGCTTTTAGTTTACAACCGTTAAAAAAAAATACATTCCCAGGGAAATTTTCCTCTCATGGACTACTTAAAATAATAGTAAATAATTATTTTTTCATGTTTGTGAATCGGAGAAAATATATAATATACGTGGATTTATATTAATTAAATTGGATACAAAATAAAAGGGGAAAGCATGTGAATAGCAGAGTTGTCGTTCATGTGAAAGTTGAAAATAAAAAAAAATTGGCCCGTGATGAAGAGATTGTCGAGAAAAGTTTATGAATACTACAAATATTATTGGGATTTCTTCTGCTTATTCTTGGTCCACTTCATTATGGGAGATCTTAAATTGGGCCATACATACATCAATTATTAGATGCATTGATAATTTGCTTATTTATTCTATTTGATCAATCAATTATTTGGATAGAGTGACATAACTTTATAACATCTATAAAAAAATTAAGGGATGGAGACAATATGTGGGATAGTCAATCAAACCATGGTACGTGGATACCGTGTCAACCAGAACAAAGCATATCATGTCGTCTCCCATATGCTTTCAGGAGATCGGTCTCGAGTGTCTCAGTTTTTGTGTCCATCATCTCTTTTCCAAGGCGGTTACTGCATGCAGGTTGCTCTATACAATTATGAAGCCGGCCAAACACTAAAGCGATGCACAACCAAGGTCATCTTTGGTATAAGCTATTTGCTTAGTGAATTTATCAAAAAAAAAAAAACTGAGCCTTTATATATTTTTTTCTCTATACATGAAACTTTTGTATTTATTTATTTACATGAAAGTTTAAACAACATTTTTAGAAAATAACAATTTATTCTTCAGTGAAGCTTTCAGATTTGATGTCGAAGTGGTTTAAAACAGTTATTGATCTCAGTAGCCAATTTCGATCATAAACAATTTTGTTTATTTGATGGCAAGATTCACTTTTTTCTTTTTTCAAGATTCACATTTCCCCCAAGTGTATTCTATTCCTGATGAAATTAACATATTTTTGAAACACAAGTTAGTCATCCACAAATGGATTGATTAACCATTATACAGTGATTTAATTCTCTCAACAAAATAAATTTAGAACTTAAAAAAATAATGAGAGAAGAGCTGTCTGTCTTTGGTGAGACAACGGTGCCATCTCTCTCGTTGCATGTCGATGGGCCTCCTTACTAGCATCACTTGTATATATGTCCTACATTATATATAATATGATTTGTGATTCTCCGTATAAATTATTACGACAATGACATTATAATACTATTATTGATACCACTAATTATTCCAAGAATCATAGATGTTTTCAACAATAATGTATCTTATAAAAAAAAACTGGTTTGCTAACAAAAATGTATCTCCTTTTATCAAACAACGATAATGTATTGTCTCACACACTGGCCTGCTCACACACACACACACACCAAATGTATATATATATATATATATATTTGTAACCAACACCAAACGTATACAATTTTAACAAAAATTCTATAAATTAACTAAATTTTCATTAAAATAGCCCCCTTCTCTCCACTCCCCGAAAAGAAAAAAAATATATCTTAGCATACCGACCATGTTTAAAAAACATATCACAATATTGAACGAAGTTCAGCTAATTTGATTAAAATGATCTTTAGTTTTAAAGATATCAAAATTCAGTTCCAACGACAACAGTGATGAAAAGATGTCATCACACCAAAATCGAATTGTACCAAATAGGCTTGTGTAAGAATTATTCATGCTGTTTTTAACCGAAAAATTAGCATCAATAATGCAGACTCGTGAATGTTGAAACAGAATTGTTTATTTTGGACCGTTAAATTTAAATATGATGGGACCTTTTGGGATATGGTAGGAACATGTTACATACAAAACTATACATATGCCTATATATATATGCATGTGTGACATGTATGTATACATGTATCGAGATATTTAGAAAGGGAGATCACAGGACACACACTCGTGACATTGCCAGCTAGTGAGGATGACAAATGAAAAGAAATTAAAGAATAAAAAGGCAGATAAAAGAAAATAAAAACAAAAAGACAAAGAAACTTAGCAAAGGCTGCTTGTACTCTCCAACTCATTGACTGCCCATGCAATGATAAGACGATAAATGTGTCAGCAAAGAACAAATTTAAAACTATTTTAAAGATAAAATAATACCAAAAAACTATTTAGATCTGAACCTATCACATATATATACAGAACAAAGACTCACTCCACGAATAAATAAATCACTTATATATAATCCATGACTTATAAAAGTTCTCAGTAATCTATTATTTCATAAGCCAAAATATATAAACCAAATATTTAGAACCCTACTAACTACATAAAATAAGCTAAATTACAATTTTCTTCGTACCAAACCCATAAACTATAATTAAACCCATGGAAAAAAAAGTCAGGAGTGAATCCATTTCTATAAACTATAAAGCAAAATCTTTTACAAAAAGGTGAGTTTACACAATTTCAAAAATAAAATAAAAAGAGTTTACACAATTGCAACTTAAAACTGAAATATCGAGAGCATTACGACTAAAATATAGTATTTAATTACTTCAAATGGGTTTTGACATGCACACCTAAACTATATAGCATGCACTTTGATGAACTAATAACCTTTTAAATTTTTTGCCTTAGCTAGAAACTAGCATGATGGATTCCATACGCTGGTGAACTTGCTTGACCACCACCAGGATTCACATTCATGCTGTTTCTATCTGCGGAATCCGATGAAGAGCCAACTCTTTCTCTACTACTCTCATGTTGTTGTTGTTGCTGATGTTGATGTTGTTGTTGTTGTTGAAGCCCGCCACTTCCACTCATGCTTCTCACAATCTGTCCAACGCCAAGAAAGTCTCTGGTCATGCTTTGTTTATCAGCGTTTAATCCTTTGTTCACTCCTCCGTACGAAGTACCAAACGGAGAATCTACTCTACTAACGTTGTTTCCCGTTGCGCCAGGGTTAGAGAAAGAGTTCATCAAATCATTAAGATTACTCTCGCTTTCTCCGTACATTCCACTCCCAAAGCTTCTTAGAATCGATGAAGCATTGTTACTATTGTTGTTGTTGTTACTTCCACTTGAGCTTGAACCAATTTGAGCAGCTTTTTGAAGAAGAGCAGTGGCTGACATGTGAGGTGTTGAATTGGGATTTTGCATTGAAGAGCTAAAGAGTGAAGGCACTGCTCCTGAGCTGATTCTATCCGCCGAGCTCATCAGATTGTCAGGGAAGAGACCTGTACTTCCTTCTCCTCCTCCTCCAACAGCGTTTTCGCTATCAAAATGGTTTGGAATGATAAGATTATCCGAAGAAGAAGCAGCAGCATTGGGGTTGCTTGTAGCAGAAGCAACTCCATTGTGTCCAGATAGGAAGCTGAGATTGAAGAGATTCGAGGAAGGAGAGTTATGGTTATCATGTGATGAGAACTGCATCAGACCCTGTTGAAAGTTCATTGTTGATGGCTTAATGTTATTGCTTGCAGCCAAAAACCCTTGTTGATGATGGTCTTGTTGATCATGATGAAAGCTAGGGTTTTGCTCTTGCATGAAGTAACCAGAAGCATTTGAAGCAATGAGGTGAGATGAAGAACGTGAGGCGGCTCCAACACCTCCTCCTCCGCTGCTTCCAAGTCGGAGAACGCCGCTGGACTGATGATCAAGATTCTGTGAGGCCCCCATGTGGGACAAACCAAGGATCATGCTTGAAGTGTTGTTGGAGTTGTTGGTGTTTTGTCCGTACGGAAAGTGATGACTTGGCAAAGAAGGCAAAGAGGTTGGGTGTCTCGCACTCTCTTGAGCCAACGCGTCACAGAAGGCTCTGTGTGTAATGAAACTGTCTCGCCTGTGACACAAAAATTATATACGGTATTTAAAGTTATATGTACAATTTAAATGAAGAAATAAATTGACATATTTTTGGGAAAGTGAATTAAGCAACATTTATAAATAGAAAACTCATCATGTCACGTAGCTACAACAAATAGATTCGCGTGTAATTATGGGATCTTGAAAAGTAGATAGATGGCTAGAAAGTCAGTCTACGACTCTATTTTTATATCCTATTATTATTGTTTCACTGATTGATTTTTTTAACAGCTTACACACTCACATGCATTGATTCATATACGAATAATGCACGCATACACATAAATAGGAGTACAATGTTGTGTCACACTTCAACTACGATGATGTATGTCTATATGATTATGCGTACGAACAATTGTATCTATCTATATAAGTATATGTAATAACTAATGAACATATACATTATTTAGTTCGGGAAAATATTAAGCGTAAGTTTTTTTTTTTTGCAAAAGAATTTTAAGCGTAAGTTATGCTCGTAATTTCATGTGTGTGTGTATTAATGTGTATATATATAAATGGTGTTCAAAGAATTAAAAAGGTAGGTGGGAAAAGTTAAGTTACACAATAGTACTAGTATATAGAGAGAATGATTGTCAAATGAATATCTGAATCTGTCTTTAATTCAAGATCATGTAAGTTCAATAAATGCAACTTCAGCATCTATTCATGAAAGCTTATTATACATAAATGATTAAATAACTACTTATGTATATATCTATACCACCGTATTTTAATTTCCTTGATTCCATTTATAGACCTCCTCTAAATGCACGCACACACACACAAGCACACCAATGCCAGCCAAGACAGACAAAAAAAAAACTGAAAGTTCGAATATATATTAATATATTAGTTGTCATTTCTGTTTATGAAGTTTAATCATTTTAAGCAAAATGTATATGGTAATGAGCCAGAATAATTATGTGGTGTGTGTAGTTATGGTGCAGAGTACAAACGAATCATAAAAGAGGTAATGTATTAGTAAGATTTTACATATAAGAGAACAAAACACTGTAACAACAACCTATTTAGATATTATATATAGTTTAGCATCACGTGAATCTCCCATTAGTATAACAATAATTTAAGGAAAAAATCCTGAAAATAATAGTAAATGATTTTTATGACAGAAAATAGGGCGGTGTTTCCAAGGAAATAATATATAGAAAAAGAAATTGAAATTGGTCCTCTTTGGTTTTGAGTTTCTGCTAGAAAGCATCTAATGAAATATGGCAGTTTCAGTGTCATAGATAGATATAGCTATATGCACACCCATTCACGTGACATGTGTACATGTATGATGTATCAATTGTTTTTAATTAAAAAAAACAGTAAAGTTGCATTTACTGCACGAAAGAAAGCGATAAGAGCATCGAAGACTTCGAGGCGAAACAGAAAGTGAACCTAAGAAAGAAAACCCTAGTCCATGAAGAATGACTCATATGCACACACACATATCTGAATAATTATAATTTAAAGAGTTCAAAATAAATCGAATATTTACCGTGAGAAAAGTGTACCACAGTCACAACGATACTCTTTAGTACCACAAGTCTTGGAGTGAGCTTTCCAGTCCGATTGAACAGCGTAACGCTTAGAACATTTCTCGCATTTCCACTTCTTTTCTCCATGTTTACGGTAATAATGTTTCTTGATTCCGGTGAGGTCTCCGAGAGCACGTGACGGGTCATGGTGGACGCACGTGGGCTCTGGACAAAGATACACTTTCCTCTTCACTTCTTTGGTGGATTTCTGCTTGAGTTTCCATGGAAGATTGTGTCCTCTTCGGTGAAGTTGTAGATTCTGTTCTCTTTGAAACCCTTTGTTGCATACTTCACATATGAATCTGTTTGTAGCCATTAGTGTCTTTGGAGATAAAGCTATCACTTCTGCATCGGAATCTAGTTAAGAAAAGAAAGAAATTAAGGATAAAATTATTGATTTATTAAAGAATGTTTTTTTTATATTGCATGGTATATATAACTAATTAAATTATCAGTTTTGGAAAATCAGTAACGTTAATTTGCTTATTTCAAGATTTGGAATCTGAGAAAAGGGAATTCTTTTTTTTCACCGATCAATGTTTTTATAATTGATCACATGATTTTGTAACACTAAGATAATAAGATTTCAATCTAGGTATGGTAACTAACTTACTTGGAGTTCTTGGTTGGTTTCTCTTCTTTTTCTGCGGTGGAGCTTCAAGGGGCTGTGGTAGCTGTTGGTGAGGAGGAAGAGGAGGAGGAGCTACGGAGGAATTAGGAGGGAGAAACTGAGATTGATCATCTTGTCGAGCTCCAAAGAAGGAAGCAGCAGAGGATGAAGAAGCAGCCATGGATTCTTCTGTGTTCTGTGTGATGGTGAGAGAGAGAGAGAAGAAAGAAACAAAAGAAATGAAATAAAACTAGAGAGAAGAAACTCTTTAACATTAAATTCTTTTTTGACTTCCACTGATATCTTATCTCAATAAAGCCCTGAAAATGGGGTACTCCAGATTTTAAATTAATTGTTATTAAATTTCACAGAGAACTTTTTAAAACATAGAAATTTATGTGAGGTAATTGAAGAGAGAAGATGAAAGTGACAAGTGAAAACGAGTGCTAGACTAGTAAAAAATGTGCTCACATCCTACTCAATAGGCTACTAGAGAGTTAAGAGTTCTTATTCGTTTGTTAAAGGGTAAGATAATTAATTTTAACATTTTTACACCAGAGGGTAAGATAGTGAAATTAAATCAATCTAGCTTGGTTAGTTTGGTGTAGTATTAGTTGTATATATATGATATTGATCCATATATAGATACTAAAACCTATATAAATTTTGTCCATTGCGCATTCGAATAAAAACGATTACAAACAATTTGGGTGTCGACTGTAGACACTAATTAACACCTATACAGAGCAGTTAATTATTTTCCTTTTTTCTTGTGAATATGTAAATGAAATTTTAGATAAACGAAAGTATAAGAACTACAGAGGTCGGTGGACCCAATCCATTTGCCACAAAACGACAGTGAATGGTGCGTGAGACAACTCTCAACAGCTCCTCTCTCTCGTTAACATATGTGAATGATTAATTTAAAATAACATGGGTCTAAAAAATTACAGATTATATATGACACTAAAATACTGCAGAACATGAATAATCAATACTTTACATTAAATATCAATACGAGAATGCACTAATTTTGAGTTAACATCGGGCAAATCTAAACGCTGGAGTAGATCCAAAAGTATAATTTTCAGTTTCGAAAGAAATTAGTTATTTAACTTATATCGAGCAATATATAAACTCGTTTTAAATATATTTTCTTCTAATTTTTTTAAAAAAATTATATATTCTTCTTAATTAGCGGTTATAAGAACTGACCGACTATATTTGTATATAACTACAACAGATTGTTATGTTTGTTGACAAAAAATACTAGTTTTTATCTAAATCTTATTCATATTTTCAAAGATATCTATTTAATACATAATTTTATATACATAGATATGCATCTGTGTATATAGAGACAAATCTCTCGACTTTTCAAGGGGTAAGCCATAAAGCAGACTAATATTCTTATATTCTTAACGAAATACGATTATTGTCACAATCACCATCATCATCTCATATGGGTCTCTTTTCTTTTGTTTTAAAAAGTTCCTATCATATCATATTGCATATATATGAATGTATGTCTGTCTGCGTGTCATGGACGGTTGAATGTGAAAAGAGATATTCCAAAGATAAAAAGGACAAAAGGAAGAATGATTGTGTATATTTTTCATGTATGTGGTAAAGTAAAAACCCAAAAAGGATGCTCAAAATTTTAACTATATCGTCATCTCTTCCCATACTCAAGTCATTGGTTAGAAACAAATTAAACAACTCTATATAATAATTCCCCAATAGATCCCTTCATTTTATTAGTTATTTATATATTTAAATCATCAAAACAACTTGATTAACGATAAATTTATATAACTGTGCTATTTATTGTCTATTAATCTAAAAAGAAAGAGAAATTGATATAGTGCTTTTAGAACGATATATTGAGTTAGTAATTAGTCTTTTAGTCAAAAAATAAATAATAATTAATCTAAAACAGTGTTATTTAAAGAAAAATTATAGTAATAATCAAAAACCTATAGCAATTTCTTAATATGTTTATCTGTAAAGGAGATTTACAATAGTCTTTTAACAAAATTATTTGTAAATTTGGTATATTGTCAGAGAAGGAGATGCAAGAAAACCAACTCATTTCAGTATGGGTCTTTGGTAACGTGAGCATGAGTTATACATAAGCCTGTTTTTAATATCAGTATAAGATAATCCAAAACACATGTTTTCAGACAGGAAAACACATATGATGTTATTGTTGTAATATCAGTTTAGCACAATTATTCTTGCTGTGCCAGAATTCTCAGGAAAAGGAATAACAACAGCTATTCCCGATAACAATGACACTTGAGCCGTAACGTAACCTTTCCTCTCATATTCATTTTCGAATATAAATTCTTTCAAACAACAGTAAGTATATATACAATATTAAAACAAGGCGATATTTAAAATAAAGATAGAAAAAGAACAGCATTGCTTTTAGCTAGAACTGGACACAAATACTTGATACTCGACTTGTACTTGTTACTTAATTCGGTTCGGATTAAAAAAACAAATACTTGTTAAATCAAGTTGAATAGCAAGTAAACAGATTTTATTACTCGCAAATAGAAGTCAAGTATCAAATTCATATTTGTTTTTAACTACTTGGCTTCTTACATGATTTGTTACTTGTTATCATTTACTTATCTATTATTTGTTATATATTATTTAATTTATTAAATATTTAATATCCATTTTATTAGTTAATTAAAAACTCATGTATTACATTTTATTGGTGACCATAATTACTTATTGTTTGCCTCTTATTCGATACTTGAAAGATATATAATCTTTACAAATTAGTATTTCTTATGAACAAGTTAAATATAGAGTAAATATTAAATAAATTAATTACTTGACGTTGTTTTGTTTGTTACTTGTGTTTGTTAATGAATAAAAATATATTTTTCTAAATCATAGTAAAATAACTCATTTCTATTTCCATTTTCATAAGTACATCAAACATAAGTGTTATATTTATATAAGTATCTTGAATTTTTTTCTTTTTTATATAGTCCATTTTCCGAATGACTTATAAATACAAGAAAACAATGGCATATTAATTATTTATGTAATAAATTTATCTAACTTTAAATTTTAGTGAATCATCAAATAATTTACCAATAATTATGAATAAATTTATAAGTAATTTACATGTAACAAATAAATAAAATAAGTCAAATAACTTAGAAATCCGTCAATTTTTTGCAAGTACTTGAAACTGCAAGTCATTGTTTTTTGCAAACCACATATAAATCAAAATATTTACTACTCGTCCAAGCCAAATTAAGTACTAAATATACCAGAAATATCGAGTACACGGCTTGTGCCCACCCATACTAGTAAGTTTTACAATCATTGGTATCAGTTTCTTACATCTAAATATGAAAAAGCGTTATATATACATAAATATATATTTTTTCCATATAGATCAGATCCGACCAGTCGGAGATCCTCCATGGAAAATCGGCTCAATTGACTACCATTTAATCTAGTTCAAATGGGTTGGTGACAAAAAAATACATATATATATATATATATATATATACACACATAAGCATGTAAAAATGGGAAAGAGTAAATTTCGGAAGAGTCAATACAGTTTTGCTAAATCGTTAAACTACTTTAATTAATCTTATATATTAAAACAGAAGTCATGACTTAACTTCATGTGTAATTTTTTTTAAAATGGACTATTACTACAAATTCATGTTACATTAACTCTCTAATAATCTTATCATTATTATATCTTATGAAAAATCATATCTATAATAACAAAGATACGCTTAACAATTTGGTTTTGGTAAATTACCACACACCTTCCAACTTAGTCACGCAAAATATGTCAATAGATATAAGTTTAGGAAACTTCTATTATTTATAAAGAAATATGTCAATAATAGTTAAATGCATCCACAATATATTAACAAAAATCACAAATTCGTAATATGGAATATTTATATACCCTAACAAAATTTACACGCTATATATACTAGATAAATTTATTTTGATGTAAATTTTTAAAACTATATTGTTTTAAACAAAGCTATTGTTTAAAAAATCTTTTTAATAAAATTCTTTATAATATTAATTTATGAAGTATTTAATCAAGCTCTATTTATATTACTTTATCTAAAATAAAATACTAATCTAACAAACAATAAAATATAGAAGAAAAAGCAAACACATGTTTGAAAAACATGTATAATATATAAAATTTGAAACAATCTATTTGATTAATACACGTATTATATAATATTATTATGTTTGAAAAACATTTACTATACATATTGTAAATATGTGATTACTATAATATATACCAATTTACAAGTGAAAACAAAATGTTTATATAACTAACTATAAACAAAAACAAACATCCGTGCAGTTGCGCGGGTCAAAATCTAGTTACTTTCTAAGTTTTCAAACTATTACCTAAATTACAACTGGACTAAATTTGAGAGTATTACCCTATATATATTAAATTTACTTTTTGTAAACAACTGCAAAACAATTGATTTTTTTGAATATTTATCAATTTAACCTCGACGTGTGCGACATAAGAAAATGAAAATGACAAAACAAAGCTTTAATTTTGACTCAAAAAGTATCATATTTTCTTATTTAACCCTTAATTTTGTTTTGTTGACAAAATCACCCTTTTATCTAGACGACACTGTAATATGATTTTTTTTTTCTAAAATTTGGCTGTAATATGAATTTGGATGACGGATTTTGTACGACGTACCAAATTTTGAAAAGATATTAACTAGAGTAATAGCTAGTTAATCGAAAAATATATAGTATTATATGAAGATGGATGTCAATTCTTTGGCTAAATTTCGAATAGTTTTAAATCTAACGTGTGTCCAATTGTTTATAGTTGCATATGCCACACATGTTGTAAAAAGCTAGGACAGCTTGGTTTAGCTCTAGCAGCCTTGGCTCTCTCTTGAGCAATTTAAGCTATTTTTCAAATCTCATATATGCTGAACTTTAAGAATAATGCCACACATGTTATAAACAGTACTTTTCATTTGAATAAACTTAACATTATTTCAAAAAAATTGCATATAAGATTTACACCAACTGGTGTCCAAAAGAATTTCAAACTTAAGAAAAATCATTATAATATGTCTTTCAGAAGATTTTGTTAATAGAATCTTTTTTTTTAGAACTAAAAAAAAATGT